TTTTATGAATACCCTGGCCTTCTCTCCAGATCGGGCTGTTACAAGCTTATGTGTTCATGTGGTAGCGACTATGTGGAAGAGATCTATAGGCCCATAAATAAGAGGTTAGCTGGAACGAAAACAACTTTTAAGGGCTTGTGAGTCAAAAAATGGGAATTAGCCGAACACACGGTTTGCACAGGACATCAGATAGACTGATTTAATTTAAAACGCTCAGCAAGATATGGGCGATATAAATCAGCAAAATTGTCAAAAACCCAGGTTGGATAGGATCATAGAGAGGGGGAGGAACTAGAAGTTCCAAGGAACAAGAGGTAGATGCTAGATTATGCTCGAATCTGATTTTTACTCTCCCATCACACCCATTTCAAGAGCAATGCATTCAGACAGCACGCGCGCCCTGGAACACAATTACCTGCGGTAACATTGCAGGATTAAAGGTATATGTATTTTATGGCAGGATGAAACGGCTCGGTCACAAATGCATCCGTTTAACCCTTCATTTGTAGCCACTTCGCATGTCATCCGTAGCCCCCTAACATAACTTTTATGTGAACATATAGGCAAAGCATATGAGATATAAGAAGTATTACCCCAATTTGTTTAAGGTGATGAATGAATGGTAATAGAAATTTTCCATAATAATATGAGTAGAGCGGACGTTTCCATTGGATTTAACATAAAATTACTTTCCCAAAAGTTGTTCTCATCCAGGCTGGACTGCAGTTTCGATCTCGCATCGGTCTTATCAACACCCTCAGCGGGAGTCGAACCGTGACAGTGTAGAATGTGAGCTTGCCACGGTAACCACTCGGCCAGATTGCCACGAGTGCCCGTTGATCGCAGGGCAGATGTGAACTCCAAGAAAGGTCAGGCATTATCCCATATCACATTATTTAGTGGGATTTTCGATTAATAAAACGTATTTTTGCTAAAAGAATCGACTACAATACTTTTTCTTGTATATAAAGAGGGATTCGAGACTACCATCAAATCAGTTATATGATATGAATACATGAGGTGAATACATTTCATATAACTGAGTTAATAGTTGTCTTTAAACCCTCCTTATATACGAAAAGCATATGATATCCATGCCTAAGTGGACCAAATTGGTCTATAAGAAGTAGATAGGTTTAAAGCCGGTCACATTTCTTGCCTTCGAATTTTTTATGAGTTATCTTTAAACCTGAAATCCTGTTCTGACGATGTGTGTCACATGATGAACAAAAGTTTAGCAAGGAAGCATTAGGTTGGCAGGATGGTGCGCCGGGGACCTCTTTGCACAAATCTACAGCCCCACTGCAATTCCCCCCCCCCCAGTTTCCGGTGAGGCTAACTTACGAATTCCATCCTCTTGCCTCCTCAAACGAAATAAAAAGTACTCCAACTTCATGATAAAATTATCACTCGAATTTCTCAGCATTTCAACCTATTTAAAAGGACTTCTTCAAGGTTCGGGTTGTCACTCTTCTGACTACTATACTACTTATACTTATACTTACAGCTGTTGCATTCAACCAACTTCGTTTAAGGTAATGAAGGACTGGTAATAGAATTTTTCCACAATGGTATGAGTAGAGCTGACATTTCCATTGAATTTCACATAGCCTTGCTTTCCCCAAAGTTGTTCTTATCCAGACATAAGTAGACTGCAGTTTCGACCTCGCATCGATCTTATCAACACCCCCAGCGGGATTCGAACCGTGACAGTGCAGAATAGGAATTTGATGCGTTAACCAATCAAACGCATTGCCACGGGTGCCCTTGGGTCACAGGGTAGATGTGAATTTTAAGGAAGGTCAGGCCTTTTACCACATCATCTTTTTTGGTGGGTTTGGTGATAAAGCAAACGTATATTTGCTATAACAAAGAAATTGGGTGAATACATCTCATATTACTTATTTACTGTTAGTCTCGAAACTCTACTTAAATATGAAAAAAAGTATTGTAATCGATTTTTATAGTGAATATACGTTTGCTTCATCGAAAATTCAACCAAAGAATATGATATGGCAAAAGGCCTGGCCTTCCTTGAAATTCACATTTTCTTTGTGACCCATGGGCACTCGTGTCAATGTGGCCGAGTGGTTAACTTGTCAAGCTCCCATTCTGCACTGTCACGGTTCGACTCCCGCTGGGAGTGTTGATATGACCGATGCGAAGTTGAAACTGCAGTCCACCCTGGATGAAAACAACTCTGGGAAAGCAAGGCTTTGGGAAATTCAATGGAAACGTCAGCTCTACTCATAGCATTGTGGGAAAAATTCTGCTACTAGTCCTTCATCACCTTAAACGAAATAGGGTGAATTCATCCCATATTACTCATTTTCTGGTAGTCTCGAAACTCTACTTAAATATCAAAAATATTTGTACTCAATTATACTCAATTATACTAATTGCAATAAAAATCTTTGTTTAATCTTTCAACTTCACTTAAAATTTGAAATCAAATGACCTGAGAGACCTTCAAATTTAAGTGACGAGATTTTTTTAATACTTTTCTCTAGGTAAATAAGAGCTTAACACCAACGCTTGCTAACTTTTTAACATATAATATTAATCGCCAGGCTATTCTGTACCTCATTATAAGGTTAAATGGTCTCTACATACCTTTGATTCTATTCTGAAATTAGTTATACATTTGTACGAAAATGCCATTACCTACCAGCAATTTGGTGAAATTTGAAATGCTCTCCTTTTATTAGCAAAGGTGTAGTACAATTACTATGCTATATGATTAAAAGCCATACTTCCCGATTGCAGATAACTTCGGCTTGAGTGTGGATATTTGTCTCCTTTGCTTGTTGTAAATCAAATCTCGCTTAGCTCAGTTTTGAATTGTCTCTAGGCCGAGCCGAATGTTATGCTTGGCATAACGTTAGAACCTATAGCTTCAAACATATATACAAAAAATTAACATCAGAATGTGCAAGAATAAATTGCCGAATTTTCCCAGATGAACGCGATCGTAGTAAACCAAAAAAGAGATTACTCAATTTTTGTGAGTTATAGAAGATATTAATGTCATAAATGCTGTGCAAATAATAACATAACCAAGATAGACCATTAGTAGTAATATTCAAATATATGTGCGTTTTCGAGACTATCAATAAACCTTGAATAACCCATATCCCACATTGATATATCAATCCTCACGGTTCCTTTTTATTTCAAATGACGACCTAAGCTGACTATAGCTCATATTCAAGATTTTTTTGGTAATTCCCAAATACGATTTTGCCTTAGTAACAACTCCATTATAAATGTGATACTGGAAGGTCTCGGCCTTCCATGAAATCCATGTCTTCCATGCTATCCAGGAGCATTCTTATCAATATGTTGTAGGGGTAGCATACCAAGTTTATACACTACGATACCTGGGCTTGATTACACCTCAGGTGAGGTCGAAACTGATATCCATTTTGGTTAAGAATACCTTTTGGCATGCAAGCTTTATGACATTCAATGTGAAAAAATTTTACTTTTAGCCCTTCATCACCTTATGCAAATAAAGGTTACTATAACTCTTATTATTAGAATGTCTTAATACGTATGTGGTATAAAACCAAGTTTGAAGTCATAATACTTACCCCCTTCATGAGCGACATATTCACCCACCAAGATACAGGAATATGCATTCCAAAAGCGCACGATTCCATTCCCGCCACAGGAAACCAGATTCGCACCTCGGTGCATACCGGAGGTAATATGCTTTCGAGTTTGTAGGAGGACGAGTCGCGAGATGTTGTAAAGAAAATCGCGGTTCTAGCACAAACATTACATAATAAGGCAATTCAATTGCAAGTGAAGTAGAGAAATACAACTTAAAAGCATCTAAATGATAAAATCTCGTTCCTGAGTTATGTAAGGCATCGGATGATTAATTTATTCATCAATCACCCTCTTCATTGTGACCTTTGAGTATGGCAAATTCACCTTAGCTTAATTACTTGCAATATACATCAGTAATTAAGGTCAGTTATGAGGTAAAGTAAAATCTTACCAAAGCAACTCACCATTTAGTCGTGCTCTTTTGCCATTAGCTAGATCAAATTTTAACAGATTTTAAGGCATGGCTGTCATTATAAAGCCTTTCTTGAATAACTTGCTAGCCTACCAGAGAGAGACTCATTTTTGTTTTAAAGGAACCAAGATCTACATTGCATAATGCGTTAGCTTCGAAACCATATGAAACTATAGTTCATATGTCATTTTTAATGAAACAGATTTCGGCTTGTTATTATCTATTCCAAGCTGAGTAATATGGATCCTTTTGACCACCTTCAAAGCACAACCCATTATTTTATGCTCAAGAAGCGATTTTCTATCTGATTAATCTGTTTATCCTTTAACATATTATATATCGAAAGGCTTATTACTTTTATATCATAGCAAGTGAGGAGTCACTAGCTGAGCGATTCTTAAAAAAATGAATTTTATACTACATCATACCCCAAAAGGTGAAAGCAATACGACTAGGCCCTTGCAATTTAGAGTAAGCAAACTTTCCATTTAGTCCGCAGCCTATTTTGATTCTCGAAAAAAGTGCTCAAGTTCGTGACGAGAGCTTACTGATTCTGATAATGTAATTTTAGAATAAAATCTAGAGAAAATTACATTGCTAATACAAGTACATGATACTTGTAAGAGCATATTCAGGGCAGTGACATACTTGGTCTGTGCAATGCTTTTTGCAGCGCTGGGTCATCCTTCGGGCAGCCAACTCAGAATTGGTGTTCCAGATGACAATTTCACCGTCATAAGAACCAGTGATCAAACTGTGAGGCGGCAATGAACAGCCTGCAAGCACATCGTCTTCGTGCTCCTGAAAGGAAATAAAATAGTTAGTTTAGTACTTCATGAAATGAACAGTCACTGTTACGTACAAAAGTCCGCAAAAAAATATAAGAAAAACTCATTAGTACAGCATTTCGTTAATAAATTCATATAATTATCACAGGGAAAATACCCTCTTTAGTATAGAGTTCATTATCATAAATTATATATTTAAAAAATAGATTTGGAAAAAAACATTGTCCCCTTTCTTATTATCTAGTACTTTGTTAATAGAACGAACTACTGTCGCGTTACTCGCAAAGCGACTCAATTGAAGGTATAAATTCGAGTTAGTTTGACTTGTTTTTATCCCCTTAGTCGCGTTTTTAGATAAACTTCCAAAAGCATGTTGTGCCTTATTCTCTGCCAATTTTCTTATTGCATCGGGTCGGTTATTGAGTCCCTTCCAGACGTTTCGTCACCATCTTCAACAAGTTTTACCTTCCTTTACATGAGAAGGTAACTAGTTAGTGACATATAAAGTTAATTCCCATGAGCAGCTTTTTATTGATGTTTTTTTCACTTCTCTTCTTCTGTGCCTTAGGAATTTTTTCACTTCATACCACTTAATCCACATCCACAGCGTATGGTTCGCATGACCTAGTAGTCCTTTCTCCTGAATTTGTTACTCGTTTGTGGCATAGACAAGGTTGTGCATCTCCATCAAAAGTTTTGAGGCCATCTTTAGTCAATCTTTCTTACGCATCCTTTATGTGAACAATTACTTAAGTATGGTGGGTACATTGGCTGATAGTGAGTGATTGCAGTTAGCCAGTTGGATGAGATAAGTAATTTCAAGGAAAGAAAAAACAAGCTGATATATATTTAGTGTGGTAGAATAGAGTCGAGGTGACAATTAGAGCCAGGGAACCCGGAATAAATGTAAAACCGGATTCAAAGATCACCCCAATAAATCGAACCAAAAGGATGCACATTTCGAATATACATTTTTTTTAAACTTAGCTGAAAATTGGAGTAGTCAGGTGACTTTGAAGAGTGACTTTGACATGTACACTGGGAAACATAAGGACAGGGTGTTATGGAAGAGGAAATTTATTAAGATAAGAGATAGGAGAAATAATACAAGTAGTCAAATAGATTTATTTAGAGAAGTGAAACTACTTGCAATTTCACGGGTTCTAAGTATGGTTCTATTCAAACGATGCTGACTACGATACTGGCGAAGCTTTTAAGAAGATAAACAGTCAGTTGTTAGATGTTGGAATTACTAAACACTATAATAACAGAAGGTGTATAACAGTGCATATTGTTTGAAGTCCTACTTAAGAATCTAAATCGAGAAAGGAGATTTCCACATCATCTTTGTTCTCATATTCAAATTTCTACTGCAGCAATAGCAATATAAATCGTTTTCATTGATAAAAACTACATCTTAAATGTATACTTTGGTTATAGCTTTATTTCCATTATAGAACATTTATATTACCTAAACATATATTCCGTTTGGTTGACACTAAGGTTATTAATAAGGTAAGTTTACTAAAAAATTTCTGATATTCTTAATTTAGTATGGCTTTTTATAAGTATTATGATACACATATTGTATAGCTTGCCATATTCATCAATAGAATTTTCTCAGATTGATTTTTACCTAATAAGATAGTGCCATTGGCTTAGGAACTTACCGGTCCGCCACTCCACTCCGATGGATAAACGAAATGGTCCCTGAAATTTGTCATTCGGAAGACTGTGAAGTGGTTCGAACTGCCCATTACGATCACACATCTCTTTAATATTACGACCTGACCGACATCACCAGGATCACCGCCAAAGCAGATTAGGGTATGCATGCATTGTCCATTCATATCCCAAACCTTGAACCACAGTATAATATAGAGGATACAGTATAAGGTAAAAATAATAGAGCATAACTATAAAAGTTTAAAGAAGGTGATACGACAAGTTTGTTAGCTACTGTACCATTTATATATAGAGAAAACCAAGTTCTATAACAGTCTAGTTTTAGGGCCAAAACTTTCTTAAATACTGCTGCATACACTTTGCCTACATTCTCCTTTTATGATAGATAGTCAAGTTAACGTTTTTTATGAACTTCTTTGACTTTTCTTTGATACTCCGAGCAACTTAGCCTGTAATGTGTCCCTTATACTTGATTTAATGTGCTATTCCATTACCATTTATTGCACATTTACCTGGTGGCGACACTTTTGGATATGTAACCAATCTTCATTCCGATGCTGAGGAATGCATTGTGACAATGACAGATGGCTCAATACGAGCTAAGTTATTTAAAGTATTATGGTACTTTCGGAAAGCAAGTCTGAATTAATATATATATGCATATAGTAGGGTCTAAAAGTATGAGCCTACGACCCAAAAGCGGGCTTATTTCATAGTTTATAAAAAATGAATACAAACTTTTATGTATTTGACAAATTTTAAACAAGGTTACATGATTTTTCACTAATATGTAAGTCAGCAAAATTTTGTTAGCATTTACTGACGGTAAATTGTCTTAACATTTGATATGACCACTTTTGCCTTATTCTCCTCTAGCACACTTTTCGGTATCGATTTTACAAGTTTGCCGAATTTAGGAATCCTAATTATTCCAGACCTCTTTTAGAGTATCCCAAATAGTGTCTTATTATTATACAATGTGCTTAACATTGTCCTTTTAATATAGTTTCGAAGATATCAAGTGGGATTGAGATCTGGCGACTGCCGAGGAGGGAAGGCCATGCAAGTCAGCACACCGGGCTCTTCCTTTGACTTCAAATAGGCCTGTAAAAGCTTCGATGCATGTTTAAAATAATTTGTCTTGCTGGAAAATGAGGCCAAAGGGGATGATATGACTTTACAGAATAGTGGTATTGTATGTATTGGTAGGTATAGACCAAACGAACCTGAAGTGACCGCAGCATCTGAAGACCACTATATCAAGATAATTTCATTCTAAGACAAATCAGCAGCTGGATCCATGATAAGAAACCAGCTATCCTAGTTATCAAAATTACAGTCAAAAGACGACTGATAAACCGCGATCTTCATGGGAGAGTAGTAGCTTGAAAACCATTTTTAGACAACAAAGCCAGTGTAACCTTTTAGCATGGTTCAAGGACTACTAAAATATTGTTTAAAAATTATAAGTTCAATAAAAAATTTGTATTATTTTTTGTAACTGATAAAATAAACATGATTCTTCGTGGTGGACTCAGACCTTTGGATCCAATTATATATATGTATTACTAAACTTAAATCTACTATTTGGAAGATGTCTTCAGGGATGAATTTTATGGTTATACGAATTTCCAGCTAGAACTAAGTAAGAAGGGCTTATTAGCATTAAATCAATGTACTGGTCGATCTGTGAGTCTTTATTTTAATTAATATGCTAAAGATAAATGAATCAACATGGTTGAATAATAAAGGAATTTCGCATTGTTAAGTTGACAAGCTTATTGTGAGAATTTACATCAAGTACAGCAAAATGAGCTAAATTTCTAAATATTACAACTATTTTTATTACCTTCCATTTCTAGTCATCCAATCTCAATACTGGTAGTCCTGATAACCTACTTATTTACGAAAAGAAATTCAACCTCAATATCTTTCAGTAATTTATCATTCAGATTTAAGATGGGATACCTGAAGGTTCACTGTTGGGGAGAGTAGATTTTACCAGAACTTGTCATTAGACTGATTTTCGGCACGAAATATGCTTCGAATGCCTATCCTTTACGGACATAAAATTTGTCCTTTATATGGCAGACATACATTCAGCACATTTCACTGAGACTAAAGTTACGAATTCCGACGAGTACTTAAGCCCAACTATCTCAGGGTTAGTGAAAAGCAGTGGGCCGAGGCGAATATTCTTTCGGTTATATTGTCAGATCGGCTTTCGATTGTTCTCATTTCGCATTTTCTCACGAGTGCGGGAAAAATTATGCATCCAGAGAAGCATCAAAACCCACTAGTTTTATCTATGAAATATAATTCTTCTACACAATGCCTAATTTTGTTTAAAGTATAATTATACAAGTTACTTATTGGAACCCAATAAGCTTCAAATTTTTTGAAACTGGCTTACTAGGATGAAATTACCAGTCTGCTTCTCTCCAGTTTGCAAAGTACGAAAGCTGAACCAGATTAAGGTTTTGAACGTGGACACGGATAGTTTACATACTTTCCTATCACAAAATAACTTAATGCTTGCAGCCAATAAGAGAGAATCAAGCTGGTAGCTAAAATTCTCCTCTAAGCCTATTCGCCTCTACACTACTGACTACGACAGGAGTGATGCCCAAGCATGGGTAAGTAAGATCGTTCTAACTTGTCTTCGACTTAATTTTTTCAAACAAGCATAGTGTCGCTTTAATGAGAACAAAAGCGTTTTAAAAATCACTATAAAATGAGAAATAATGATGAAAATCTTGTTACTTTTATTGTGCCGTCTGTACCACCTGTGTACAACCTTGTCTCAGTGTTATCTTGAACCAGACATGTCAGCTCAGCATCAAGATGAGTTCTGCTGAGATGTTTTACCCGTTGGCCACTCTCCAAAAGCCAATAAGAAATAGAGCCGCCTTGACAAGCTGAAATTATCTAGTTGTTGCAAGTAAAATAGAAAAATATAACATTTGGAGGTTATTAGTAAGAAAATAATGTAACGATGCAAATTATGAATTTTTGAAAAATATTTATTTTCATTTTCATATTTTTTGTATGTTTATAGATCTTAGGTATCCATTTTAATCCGGTTTTTACATTAAACTAATCGAAACAATTGGCGAATGCTTTTCATACAATGCGATAACGTAGTGTCTGAAATAAAATGCCCCTGAATTTTACATGCATAAATTACACACCAAAACATTAAGTGATCAATCCTTATCATTCATATTACACCTAATAAGACTCCCTAAGTGAAAATGCCAATGCATCTATTAGGGGCAGGTGAGGTCG